AAATTTCCTTGAGATAAATTTCTTTCCCTTTAAATATGTGTGTATATATATATATATATATTTATTTATATTTATATATATATATATTTATATGCTTATGGGTAGGATGACTTAACATTGTGAAAATGTCAGTACTACCCAAAGCAATCTAGAGATATAATGCAATCCCAATCCAGACGCCAGCAGCATACCTGAAAGAGATAGGAAAACTAATCTCCAAATTTTATAGAAAGAAAAGAGCTCACAATAAGCAAAGCACTACTAAAGAACAAAGCAGGAGACTTCATACTTTCCTATCTCAAAACTTACAACATAACTATGGGAGTCAAAACATCCTTGTACTGATGCAATGACAGACACACAGACCGATGGAACAGAATTGAGAACCCAGAAGTAAATCACTGTATTTAAAGATAGCTAATCTTCGGCAAAGGGTGAAAATTCATTAAAAGGGGAAAAGATAGCCTCTAACAAATGATGTCAACAAAATTGGATATCCAATTTTAGAAAAATAAAACCAAGTCTACTTCGAAAACCACATGCAAAAAAAACAAAATAAAGATGGATCAAAAACCTAAGTGTAAACTCTAAAACTATAAAGGTTTTATAGAGGTAAACCAAGACACCCGAATTAAGCTAATAAAATCACTATCAAATATAGCTCAAACTAGATGATTGGAACCTCCTAACAAGTAGACATTTATGTGCATCAAAAGATTTCATTAAAAGAGTGAACCCACACACTGACAAAATAATTTTGGCAAAGACATATCAGACAAGGAATCAATCTTTAATATTTATAGAAAACGTTGATACCTCACCAACAAAACAAAGAATTCAATTGAAAATGGGCACATGACATGAGCAGGCACTTCACCAAAGAAGACCTTCAAGTGGTCAACAATCACAAAAAGAAATGCTCTTGAGCATTAGTCATTGTTGCTGGATGGATTTGAGTTAGTTCCAATTCATAGCAACCATATGTTCAACAGAATGAAACATAGCTTGGTCCTCCCATTAGAGAGATGCAAATGAAACCAACAATGAGCTGTAGTCTTGCCCCGACATTGACAGCAAAGTTAAAAACAGCAACCAGAAAACAACGAATGTAAGAGTATGGAAAGACTGGTATCCTCATACATTTCCAGTAGTTTTATAAAATGGTTCCACAGTAAAGTTGTAAATAAAAATGCCACATGATCATGTGATCTTAGTACCAATCCTACACAAATAAGAGCCTAGACCCGAATACATATATGCACACCCACGATCATTGTAGCACTATGAACAATTACAAAAGTTCTTCACTGACCTCCTCACAATTATTGTTATGTCTGGGCCCATTGCTGCAGCCACTATGTCAATCCATCTAGTCCAGGGTCTTCCTGCTTTTCGCTCTCTGGTTCAAGCATCTTGTCCTTTTCCGGGGCCTGATCTCTCCTGATAACATGTCCAAAGCATGCAAGGGAACGTCTCCCCGCTCTCACCTCTAAGGGAGTTCTGGCTGTACTTCTTCCAGAAAGATTCCGTTTGTTGGCAGCCCATGGTGCTTTCCATATCTTGCTCTTTAGATGAGGCGAAACAAGCCAAAGTGTGTTAAATTCCATGCACGCACCTCTTTGTGGAGCGTTGTCCTTTTCAGATATGAGCTCACTGTACTCAAATATGTCACGTGTGAGCTCTTCTCCCTGGAGTTTGTAAGAAGCTCTGATAGCCTGAAGGGTGATAGTTCACAGACTGTAGTCCAAACCCACCAGCTGCTTCGAAATAGAGAGATTAGGCTTCTCTCCCTCTTTGGATTATAGCTGGTAGATCAGACTGAAGACAGGAAATGAAATTAGGCACTATCTACAACAAAATGGAAACCCATATTTAAAGGAAATTACTAATGCTTGAATCGCTCCTCAATAGTGGGCGCAAGTTCTATTATTTTCTAAGAAATGTTGGGCTTTTCTTTAAATTACTGTTAAATTACCTGAGATCGATGTCACATTCAACATGAATTTTGAAAGCCATCTTATCAACAACACAAGCATTTTACAGGCCTCATTAAAATAACTATTATTAAAGTCCATAGTTCAGAAATAAATTTAGGAACTAAATGAACAGGAAAAGAAGGGCAAGGGGAAAGGAGATAATTACCATGACAGGTCACAGAGAGTGTTATTTAATTAACCATGAGAAGAAGAATCGTGTGCTCTTGCAAATTTGCATTTCCTTAGCTATTTAGTTTGCCTTGAAACATTAAAAAGGAAATAAAAGAAGAACAAAAAGAATAATTAAGCACAGAACATTATAATGAATATGTTGATGTCTCATCCCCATTACCAAATTGATCAATATTGGGTTCCATTGTTCTATAAGTAATTTTATGTACCCTTTGCATCATCAAAATCAAGAGGACCGAGGAAGAAAACTGTGTGGTGACGGGGATGAGAATAGGGTTGGGGGCAGAGAAGGTACTGTGGACTAAATTATGTATGCCAAAAATCCTATCTGAAACATGCCCAAGAACTTCGACATCTCGGTAAGACTGACTCCAATTTCAGGAGTCTCCACTCCTTCTACAATGAACATTAGTAGAAGGTGAAACTAAGTTCGGGTCTATTCATGCATTTTAAACATGTCCCAGTTGTCCTTCAATATTGAGTCAGCATCTAAATAACATTGCGTGGTTTTAGCTCTAAGCATAAGGAAAGATAAATCCATCCCTCACCTACAGTTCTCAGAAAAGATTTTTTATGCCACGGTGCTTAAGGAGGGTTGCACTGTAGGTAACTAAGACTTGGCAGGGTGCTTCTGATTTGACACGTTGCCTCTCAATTACTACGAAGAAATTTGCTTGAGCTCTAAGTCACAAAGAGATGAATAAATGCTATGGTTATTGATGGGGCTTTTGCTATTTTAGGTAATGCTTCAATTTAGGTATTATGTGTACACTATTGACCAAAAAACGATGCCAATACTTTTTATCGTATAAAATATGTTCACACAAACATGAAATGCTTTATTTATAAATGGTTTTCACTTCAATATTTTATTTCTAATTCAATTACTTTAATTTAGAATACATTTTCCCATAAAAGAATGCTATAACTCATGGAGCAGTCACCAGACTAGCCTACAAAGACATTGAATAAAAATGTAGCTCACTATCTTGGCTGCTGGGAAAACAGCAGAGAATATGATGGCACCACTAACTCATTTCTTTAAAAAATTCTCTGAACATCAAAATTAATACAAAATCCCATTATTTTCTTGCTATTTCCTAAAATAGATCTTCTTAGTTAAAGAAAGTAGGTAGATACATTCTTTGAGAAGGGAATTTCTGAACCTTTTGAATCCTTTAGAGGTTGAAGAGACTAATTCCTTATTATAGGGGAGTTAAAAAAGTTCATGAAAAACAAAATGAAAAGATAATCGCTTTTCCCCCCACAATGTTTTGAAGCCCCTGGTATAGCATCTATAGAATTGATTTTACAAAGCATAAGCCCAACGTCATCTGGCCAATTCCAACTCATAGCGGCCCAACAGAACTGAGTGGAAGTGTCCCCTAAGGGTTGTCATCTTTATGGACGGAGATCCCTCCTCTTTCTCAGAAGTTTGGAGCACCGGCCTTTCTTCAGCTAGGAGTCCAAAGCTTAATCCACTCTGCCTCAGAGCTCCTCTCACAAAGCGTTTTTGTTTTTCTTTCCTGATCTGGGCTTGCCCTATTTTACTAAGTGGTTACTTGCCTGGGTTGCTAAACTCCAGGTTAGCAGATTGAAACCCCCAGCCTTTCCATGGGAGAAAAAGGAGGCTTTCTACATCCATGAAGATAAAGACTCAAACCCACAGGGGCAGCTTCGCTCCTTCCTGTAGGGTGGTGAGGTTTTTCTCCTTCTTCTTTTGTAATCTCTTTTGTAGCTTAGAAATTGTGGAGTTCTTATTTTTTCTTATAAAATTGATAGATTTTCTCTCTGGTAAAACTTGAGAGTGGTGTATAAAATGAAACATAAACGCTTTCCCCAGCTTCCTGCAATTTCCTTCCATGGTTATCTTTCCAAGCTTATGGCAGTTACATAATCTACTGTCAACTTGAGGAAGGGGTGGAATCCAGCCTGTCAATCAGGTCATAGCCAATGAAGCCTCCGCGTGGGCATGTCCTCCTCCTGAGGATTCTGGGAACTCCTGTCTTCCTCCCTGAAGAGGGGGTGGACACATATCTCCCTTTGAGACATTCCTGTTGACAAGTCACATGGAAGTGTGCTGATGGAGCCAGAGTTCTGGAGCTAGAGGAGTCACACTGAGACCCACACCAGTGCTGAGGTGTTTCTACTGCCACTGGAGCCACAAGACTTTCCACCCACTGGCCTGCGATCTTCTTTTATTCACTGTCATTGCATGTTTTGTGTGATGAATTTATAGACTGATATTGGTCATATGGGCTAATATCGGACTTATGCACTTGATCTGGACTGACCTGGGATGTTTTCTTAATATACAATTACTCTTTTATATAAATCTCTTTCTTGTACACATGAGTTTCTATGGATTGGTTTCTCTAGTCAACCCAGACTAACACAAAGATGATCCATAGATTTGCCTCTTTTCTTAAAATAGCAGCATAATACTCCATTGTATAGCTTATTTAAGCAGTCTCCTATTGAAGATATTTATTTATAATATTTTAGTATGGCACATAATACTTCAAAAACAAGCTGTATGCAAAATATATTTGCTTATTTGCATGAACATATCTGTAGGCTAGATTACTAGTGGCAGAAATGCTGGATGAGGTGCTAAGTACATTTTCAATTTTAAAATAATGGTACATTTCCCTCCAAAAGGCAATTGGATGAAAACTATTATATTCTGCCACAGTGTACAAGTGCATTTTTACCCCCAATTCTAATCAATGCTCATACTGCTAGTATTTTAATCTTTGTTAATCTGATAAGAAAATTTCTTTTGCTGCCTGAATGAATGTTGTTGACAGCCTTTAGAAAAATACACAAAGCATACTTACCTGGCAGGGGAGACACCATGATCATGAAGGTGGATTTCCTAGGGCGAGGCTTATCCATTGCACTCCGGATGTGCTGACCCCTGAGATGTCCCCAAATGTGGGAAACTCGACTGCATATTTTGTGGTACTGGGGGACTGACTCGAATTCAACCTTGCAAATCTGGCTAGACCAGACGGTGTACACTGGTACAGATAGGAACTGAAAATACAGGGAATCCAGGGCGGATGAGCCCTACAGGACCAGTGGTTTGAGTGGCGAAACAGGGAGGATAAAGGGAGAGTGGGTAGGAAAGAGGGAACCGATTACAAGGAACTATATGTGACCTCCTCTCTGGGGGACAGATAACCGAAAAGTGGGTGAAGGGAGACGTCAGACAGGGAAAGATATGACAAAATACCAATTTATAAACTATCAAGGGCTCATATGGGAGGGGGGAGCGGGGAGGGAGGGTAAAAATGAGGACCTAATGTCGGGGGTTTAAGTGGAGAGAAAATGTTTTGAGAATGATGTACAAATGCGCTTTACACAATTGATGTGTGTATGGATTGCGATAACAGTTGTATGAGCCCCTAATAAAATGTTTAAAAAATAAAACAATTAAAAATAATAATAAACTGGCCGTGGAACAAAAAAAGAAAAAAAGAAAAAGAAACACACAAAGGAAATGAATAATCAGTTGTCTGAAAAACAAATGCAAATAGTCATATGCAAATGCTATTACTATATGAACAGACCTTATAAGGGAAATGCTGGTTCGGTGGTAAAACCCCCTTCTTCCATGTGGCATCCAATGCACCACAAGCACAGCCCCACCCATCTATCAATGGAGACTTGAATTTTGCTCTGGTATTAAATTGGTTTCAGTGGAACTTCCAGACCAAGATGAGCTAGGAAGAGAGGCGTGGAAATCTAATTACAGGAATCAATCAATGGATCAATCAATCCACAATCCATCCTGGGATTGGTATAAGACTGCTTTCATGTACTCACTTTATGACAACAACTAGAAGCGGTCTTTCATTTCCATCTGCTTACGAAGTCACATTGATAATAGCTGCATCCACTTGTGGTTGAGCCATATTTGGATATCTCCAAAGATGGAAAATGTGTGTCTCTCAATTTATTTGATCACTGATTAAACTGTTGTTTATTTTGAACTAGAACAACAGTAAGAAATGTCTTTCTCAGTTTTAGAAGATGCCCAGAGAATTTTTCATAGGTATTACATAAACATAAAGATTTTCATAAACACTTCCATTTTAAAAGTGGTTAGGCAAATCTGCTGCATATTTTGAATTTTTGAGTAGCTTGATTTATATCTGCCAAAGTAAGATACTTTCCAGTAAACAATCATTTGTATAGACCAAAAACTAGCTTAAAAAGGAGAGGAACTTATTTCATCATCACCTCCAAGACTGGAATAAAAATAAAGGAAGATTTTACATAAATTTGTTAATAATCACTCCAAAGTTACTGTATATACTCATGTATAAGTCGAGTTTTTCAGCACATTTTTAATGCCACTTTTGTGGTAAAATTAGGTGCCTCAGCTGATATTCAGGTCTGCTTCTACTCAAGTATATACAGTAATTATTAAAAGGGAAATCAAGGATGATAAAATACTCATAGTCTTTTTAGGTTCCAATGATTAAGATAAAATATGATTTTCTATAAATTAAAATCAGTATCGTATATATACCCTGACTGGCCTGTCTTCTCCCCATGATCCTTCTGTAAGGGGATGTCCAATTGCTTACAGATTGGCTTTGGGTCTCCACGCTACACTAGCCCCCTCATTCACATTATGCTTTTTTGCTCTGGGTCTTTGATGCCTGATACCTGATCCCATCAACACCTCATGATCACACAGGCTGGTGTGCTTCTTACATGTGGGCTTTGTTGCTTCTGAGATAGATGGCCACTTGTTTATCTTCAA